AGGTCTGGTGTTTGATAGAAAAAACAAACAACAACAACAAAAAATAGAACAGATTCGCCCAATTTCTTCAAACTAGTCCATAAACAAATAGTGTCTTGGGCCCCTCATTTCTCCAAATGCCAGATGCCCGGGCAGCAGTGGCAGACCAGAGTGAGGCAGGTGAGCCACTTGCATGACACTGAGAGTGAGAAACTCTTAAAGTTGACACTCCAGGTGTCTCACCCGCCTCCCCTCATCCCCACCACACTGAGCAGGGTAAACAGCATCTTTCATTTTAGTCTTAACTTCAAAAATAGATTAAGAAGCTACAAACTGGACTGGCATCTACATCCATCTGAACAATTCTTCTTTGTTGGCAGCCCAGAGCGGAGGATGAAATTAACAATGAGTAATTCACACTGCAAAAAGCAAAATATTAAAGCCTGATTGCGGGCTTCCTAATGGACAGGATTATTTTCCTCAACAGAGAGCCTTAGGTTGCTAGAGGAGCCATCTGCAGTGCCCCAAAGCACTTAGAATGAGAACCCTCTGTGGGCATTAGCCTAGCCCACTGATCTGGAGCAGGATGTGAGATTCTCTGCTGGTGGTTTGGCTTCAATCCACCAAAGCCACATTTTGAGTACTGAAAGAGGGATCTGGGTCCATGTGTGGCTGATTGGGCCATATCTTCTGGAGAGACCTTGTAGTCATTAAGAATAGCTGGCCGGATGGTGGTGCATGCCTGTAGTCCCAGCTACTCGGGAGGCTAAGGCAGGAGAATTGCTTGAACCCAGGAGGCGGAGGTTGCGGTGAGCCGAGATCCCGCCACTGCACTCCAGCCTAGGTAACAAGAGGGAAACTTCATCTCAAAAAAAGAAAAAGGAAAAAAAAAAAAAAAAAAAAAAGAATAGCTGGCCGGGTGCCTTGGCTCATGCCTGTGATCCCAGCACTTTGGGAGGCTGAGGCAGGCAGATCATGAGGTCAAGAGATCGAGACCACCCTGGCCAACATGGTGAAACCCTGTCTCTACTAAAAATACAAAAGTTAGCCGAGCGTGGTGGCGCATGTCTGTAGTTCCCCATACTTGGGAGGCTGAGGCAGGCGGAATCACTTGAACCTGGAGGCGGGGGTTGCAGTGAGCTGAGATTGTGCCACTGTGCTCCAGCCTGGTGACAGAGTGAGACTCCATCTCAAAAAAAAATAAATAAATAAAGGAACAGCCAAGACCCTCATCTTCCTGTCTAGAGGCAGGAACTTTTATTAACTCTTTCAGTTTCTTAACTCTTTCAGCTGTCTGTCAGTTTCCACCTGTGGGCTCCCTCAATCCTTCCTGCACTAAGCTAATCATGGCATGTGTTACAAGGGTGAAAATGGCACGTCTGGGCTGAAACCAGGACAGCAACATGAACAAAATGAAAAGTTCAAAGGGACAAGCTCACCTAAAAATTACTTGTCCCCATGTTTCCCCCACCTTTCTCCTTTCTCCCTTAGACACAAGTTATAGAAGAGCTTGAACGTGATAAAATACTTGGCTTTTGGCCCCTTGCCTTCCAGGGATGTTTAGAGGAAACTCCTGAGACCCTTGGATGTTGTGTTCTCTGCTGGGATTCTCCCAAGGGCTGCATCCACAGTATGGAAATGGATAGGATGCTGCAAAGCTATTTCCACAAAGCTCGTGTGGTATTTGCATGTAATTTCCCTATGGACACTGTGCAACCCCTCCCCAGACCATTTTCAAGTTAAAAGCATTTTTATGGCTCTCTTGATGGTAGTCACTTCTGGATTTTTCCTCCCCTCCAAGCTGTCTTCTCCCTCGGGCACTCTCCCTGGCCCATATCTTTGGAGAGGAAGCCAGGGAAGAAACACAGAGGAATACAGGACTCAGCCCAACCTTTGCCCTGGACACTGGCTGAGATTCTATTTCCAAAATTGTTTAGGTGATTACACTGTAGACTGTGGAACTCTAGCTCAATGAATTCACAAAAAGTCTCTTTGATCTAGAAGTTTCTGAACTACCTTCTATCCCTTTCTTTTCTGCCTCTGGTAATAATTCTTTTAAAAATGAGTCTTGGCCAGGTGTGGTGGTTCACGCCTGTAATCTCAGCACTGTGGGAGGCTGAGGCGGGCGGATCACCTGAGGTCAGGAGTTTGAGGTCAGCCTGGCCAACATGGTGAAACCCTGTCTCTACTAAGAATACAAATATTAGCCGGGCGTGGTGGCGGGCACCTGTAATCCCAGCAACTCGGGACGCTAAGGCAGGAGAACTGCTTGAACTCGGGAGGATGCAGCGAGCCGAGATCGCACCATTGCACTCCAGCCTAGATGACAGAGTAAGACTCCATCTCAAACACAAAACAAACAAAAGGAGTTTTGATTGACTTATTGAATCTTTGCAATAGCCATTGAAGATTGGGCTATTTTCAGAGGAGGAAACGGAGACGGTGAAGTTACATAGATACTTAGGGTCTTGACTTGTCCAACTCAAAGTCCAGCGTTCTTTCTGTGCCTCAGTCTCTTCAACTGTAAAATCGGGGTGTAAATAGCATGTATTTGATAGGGTTGGGAGGGTTGAAGGCTTTCATCTTTGTTAAGTGTTTAAAACAGCCTTGCACATAGAGCAGGCGTCCCCAAACTACGGCCTGTGGGCCGCATGCGGCCCCCTGAGGCCATTTATCCGGCCCCCCGCCGCACTTCAGGAAGGGGCACCTCTTTCATTGGTGGTCAGTGAGAGGAGCACAGTATGTGGCGGCCTTCCAACGGTCTGAGGGACAGTGAACTGGCCCCCTGTGTAAAAAGTTTGGGGACGCCTGACAGAGTATTCCATAAATATTCACTGATTTTATTGTGCTTTGCCATGTTTTTTTTTTTTTTTTTTTTTTTTTTTTCTTTTTTTACCATTCTATGCATTGGACTCATGACTCTTCTGTGGGAGGTGAAACCAACTTCTATGCTTGGAAAGTATTATTTAAGATGAAGAAGCTGGCTTCCCAGGCTCAGGCCCAGGTGGGACCAGAACCGATACTCATAAGCAACAGGACTGGGCTGCCTGACTAAGCCACATCCCTGCCTGGCCCTGTAAGCAGAAGAAACTCTCAGACATGGGTAAACCCAAAAAGGGAAGGGATGTCGCGTTTACAAAATGCTGAGGGAAGGAAGAAGGAAGGCTTCTGAACAGAGCCAACGAGTATAAGGCAACATTTTTCTCTGTGATGTGTTGAAGGCCTTCTGTTTTGAGGTGGTTCTAGATTCTTCATGATTTGTATTTCACCTTTACCCAGCAGTTACAAGTTAGGGCCCATGTGTGCTGAAAGTATGGAGGAGGACACTAGTTCCCTCCCACAGGGATGACTGAAAGCCTTGGAGTAGTTAGGACCGGGGACTGGAGAGAGAGCTCTGAACTCTGCCAGAGAGCCCTGGTGCTTGGGAGAGGCTGCCCTGCAGGAACTTGCCCTGTAGCTCAAGCCTTCCTTAGTAGTAGCCAATATAAATGACAGGGATAGGTTCCCACCGTCCTGGGGACCCTGGAAGAAACCAACGCAATTAGCATCAGGTCTGTTGGCTGCTGCTGAAAAGACAGCAATGAAAAATACAAAATCTGCCAGGCACGGTGGCTCACGTAATCTCAGCATTTTGGTAGGCCGAGGTGGGTGGATCACGAGGTCAGGAGTTCGAGATCAGCCTGGCCAGCATGATGAAACCTCATCTCTACTAAAAGTACAAAAATTAGCCGGGCGTGGAGGCGCACGCCTGTGATCCCAGCTACTTGGGACAGCTGAGGCAGGAGAATCGCTTGAATCCAGGAGGTGGAGGTTGCAGTGAGCTGAGATGGAGCCACTGCACTCCAGTCTGGGCGACAGAGTGAGACTCGGTCTCAAAAACAAAACACACACACAAAAAGCAAAAACACAATATAACCAGGGAAGAACTAGATTCTGTAAAAGAGCTTTACAAACCTAATCAAGGGAACAAGACACCCCAAACTGTACTTTGAACACTGTTGAAAGTTGTGAAAGTCATGTTCTAGCAGTTGAAATTTTTGCTGATCAGTCCACTCTCAGGAAAAAAAGAAACAAAAAACAAAAAACAAAAAAACAAAAACAAAACAAAAAAAACAGACCCACAAAGAAAATAGGAGGTTTAAAACACAAATGTCTGTAATTAAGCAACGGAATGACGTCTTGCGCCGGCGCGAGCTTCCCACTGTTGTGTTTTTATCAAGAGGAGCCGCGGTTCTGCCTGGCCCGGTTCGCTTTCGCCTGCGTTGACTCTCTCAGCACCCAGGCCTTCGAAAGTTTCCAGGATCCCGTTTCCAAGATACAGACAGAGGCTCCATGTCTTGATCTTATCCTGAGTCGATGTTCTCCCACCTTTAGGCTACAAGGAGCCATAAACAGCAGGTACAGAGTTGGGAGTGCTTCGAAAAGACGCACGTGAGAGGGAGGCGGCATCTTCCTAGCTGGTCACTGGCAGTAACTTGGTGGTGGCAATGAGCCCCGGAAGATGGGGCAGGAGAGAGGCGAACGCAACATGGGACCCCCTCCTCGCCCCCCGGCGTGAGGTTTCCGACCATCGCCGGCGGCCAATGCTGAGGGGCGGGGCTGGGACGGCTTCCTCAAGGCGCTGGAACTGCGGCGCGGGGACCGCCTGCTGTGGGATGCCCCGGACAATGGCGAGTGAGCTCCCGGCCAGGCAGGCCTTGTGGACCGCGGGAGGGGTCGGCTCCCTGCGCGGTCATCCGAGCCGGGATAAACAGCCGTGGAGGGGTGACACGTCCGGGCCCCGCTCAGCGCTCGCTTCCCGGGGTCCCAGCTCCGGCCGGCCCCGCCCCCGCCACGAGACCCCGGCCGCGCCCTCTCCCCGCCCCCGCCGCGAGTCCCGAGGCCGTGTCCCAGCGCCGAGTCCCGCCGCTACTCCCCGCGCTAGGCACGCGCCGCCGGCTCCTGCTGCAGCCCGGCGCTCATTGGCTGCTCCGGCGTGGGCGCTCCCGCCCCGCCTCGCCATTGGCTGGAGCCGCCGCGGTCCCCGCGCGGAGCTGCCGCTGACATCACGGGGCCTGAGGCGGCGGCGGCGCCCCCGGCCCAGCCCCGCAGTCCCCTAGGCAGAGGCGCCGCCGTGGTGCCCGGCGGAGGATGGTGCGCGGCGCGCCGGGGGCTCCCTGCTGCCAGAGCCGCAGCGCCGCAACGGAGCCGGCCGCGGCGGGCAGTCGACCCCCGCACCGGGCGCGGGGCGGGCGGCCGCGGTGAGGCGCGGAGGGCGGCGCGGGAGCCGGAGCCGGGCTGGGGCTGCAGCCGCAGCAGCCATGGGGGCCCTGACGAGCCGGCAGCACGCGGGAGTGGAGGAGGTGGACATCCCGTCCAATTCCGTGTACCGCTACCCGCCCAAGTCCGGTGAGGACGGGCGAGCGCCGCGGCCGCGAGGAGGGAGAGGGACAGGGGCGGGGGTCCGGGTCGGGACGGCCCGAGGGGGGCATACGGGTCCTCGGGGACCCAGTCGTCGCGGCCGCTCGGAAACGATCTTCGAGCGCGGGAGGTCCTCGAGAAGGCCGAGGTCTCCCCCGCCGCGGGCGAATTAGCGCAGGAGGCGTCCTGCGGGGCCTGGCGGGGGTCACCGAGGGCACCGAGCCCCTCCACCGGAGGACGGGAGCGGCCTCCATTGTAATCGGCCCCGTGACGGGGACGCGTGCCCGCGGGGACTGCGGCTCCCGGGGAGCGGGGCTGCGGCGTCGCAGGCGAGGTCGGCGCCCGGCACGGACCCGGTGGGTCCGGCCCACAGCCCGTTTGCCTCGCGGGAACCTAGGGCCGGGGAAAGGCGGCCTCGGCATCCCTAACAGGCACCTTCGCCAGGTGCTGTCCCTGCGCTGCAGCCTCCCAGCCTCTGGAAAGGTTAGAATTAGGTTTCTTCTGGAAAAGCTGCTAGTGCCTGCGGAGGATGGAAGCCAAACATGCATTTGCAGTGCTGGTGCCTTTCCAGAGGCTGTCAGAAGCGGGTGGAGGTGGGGGGAAGTAACAGAAATGTTTGGGAATCTGAGTATCAGCGTCACTCGGATTGCCCCTTTGCCAGCGTTGCGGCAAGCCTGGGTTTTGGAGTGAGACTAGCTCTGGATCAAGGCAGAGATAGTGGAAACGTATTATGTCTGTTATCAGAGTCAAACCTTCACTTTTTAAAGAGATGAATGCCTCCAGTCTCTAGGTTGCGGTATCAGCATCGGAGATGGTGGAGGATTTTGACAGCAAAGCAGAGAATCACAGGAAGGTAGTTGAGTTATGTGAGCACCAGCTAATGTGAATTGCTGCTGCATGACCTAGCTGGTGTTTACGTTTAATTGCGAGTAATTTTCCTTTAATTGCAGTTATTTTTAAATTACTTTTGATCTTATTCTCAAAACTTCTCGGGATGGACTTCTCGGGATGGAAGACTTCACCTTCTTCTCTCTGGCTTAGGACCTGATGGAGATTTTAGTGATCTTGGAATGAGGTGTCAGAATTGGAGCGGAGCCTCGTCTCTTTTTGGTAGAGTAGAGACATTGCTAATGAGATGAGCTGATTTCTCAGCAGTGTGTCCAGTGTCTGCCAGGTAAAAGCATGGGCCAGACGATGAACCTGCCCGCATCCCTGCCGAGTGTCTGCCAGAGCTGTGTTTCCCACTGCTTTTGTGCCGAAGAATGAATCCTTGCAAAGATGAATATCATGAATTGTTTTATAAAGCTGTGGGTCATGAGTATTTTAATAAAGCTCTGACTGATTATGACTACATAAAATCAATGCTAAAGAAGGCATGGATTTTGTTTTTTAATAGACAAAAATATGCAGCAGTATTTGTGGACTCGGTTTTTCTTAAACCACATGGCTTTTATTGATCAGAATATGGAGCATACTTTGCTGAGCTTGGAATTTTCAAAAAGTGTTTGCTGCCTCAGGAAAGTATTCACCCCTCCCTTCACATGTGAAACTTAACGGAGATAAACCTCTGGAAGGCTGTTCCCCAAAGCATTTTTATACAAGTATGAATCTTGGGTGATGGTAATAGAAGGATAATAGACCAAACCAAACTTTTTTGTTAATTAACACACTCAATACTTTGCCTTAAATAATTCTCTCTACTCTACCAATCTTTTAAAAGTTTTACTTAACTGTAAAACTGTAATTCATGTTAAATCAGAAGTTACACATGAGAGAAGTCTTTACAGCCAGTGGACCAATTATTTCTGTTGAAGCTAAAGCACAGAAAATAGAATCAGAACATCTGTGTCTCTGTCAGCAAACCTTTGTGTATTTGAAGCCTATGTGAGCTTGCATATACGCTCTAGATAGAGGCATTGCCTTTCTTTTGATAATTGAATTGACCTGGCTCTTTATGGGATTACAGTATTAGTCCTCAAAGGAATCTTCAAGAGAGTTTGGCCATTACCACCATGCCTAGCTAATGTTTAATTATTATTATTATTATTATTATTATTTTGAGTCAGAGTCTTACTCTGTCATGCCCAGGCTGGAATGAAGTGGCAAGATACTGACCACTGCAACCTCCACGTCCCGGGTTCCAGCAATTCTCCCGCCTCAGTCTCCCAAGTAGCTGGGATTACAGGCACTCGCCACCATGCCCGGCTAATTTTTTGTATTTTTAGTAGATACGGGGTTTCACCATATTGGCCAGGCTGGTCTCGAACTCCTGACCTCAGGTGATCCACCTGCCTTGGCCTCCCAAAGTGCAGGGATTAGAAGCGTGAGCCACCACACCTGGCTAAGTTTTTTGTAGAGACAGTATCTCACTATTTGCCCAGGGTGGTCTTGAACCTGTGGTCTCAAGCAATCCTCCCACCTTGGCCTCCCATTGATTTCACTAATAAGAAAATGGAGACCCATAGAAATGAATTGGCATAGCTATGGTCTCTCAGCCAGTTAGTGTTCTTTATACTATACCATCTGCCTCTGCCTTTCAAGGAATTGGGTTTTGAACTTGTACTTGAAACACATGACTTAAAACAATCATTCCAAGATTAATGGAGTAAAGCCATTTTGTGTCACAATTGAAATCCTTTTTTTTTTTTTAAAGATGGGGTTTCACCACGTTGGTCAGGCTGGTCTTGAACTCCCGACCTCAAGTGATCCGCCCGTCTTGGCCTCCAAAGTGCTTGGATTACAGGCGTGAGCCACCCGCGCCCGGCCAAATCCGATTTTGAGAAGTCTCCTTATCCTGAGTACTGATAGTGGAACAAAGCAAGCAACAGAGTCAGTTTTCTCCAGATGACATGCCTTGTGGCCTGGGTGTTAAGTTGAGACCACTACCTGGCTTGCTGGAAAGTGGCTAGAGCTGCACTACCTGTGGATTGGTTACTTCAGAAAGAAACACCATCATCTGCCCTTGTAATGATGTTTACCGTGCCCAGCAGAAATTGCTTTTTTCTGAGTATTTTTAATGGAACTTCTTAGTTTTGTATGCACATTGAAATAAAACATTTAAAACCTGTCAACAAATATATATATACACATATATATGTATATATATATATTTTTTAATTGCGTTTTCGGTTTTGGGGTACATGTGAAGAACATGCAAGATTGTTGGATAGGTACATACATGGCAATGTGGTTTGCTGCCTCCCTGCCCATCACCTATATCTGGCATTTCTCCCTATGTTATCCCTCCTCAACTCCCCACCCCCTACCCCCCACCCCTGCCCCATGATGAACATCTGTGGATTGTTTTTTCAGTATCTTACTGTTGCAAACAATGCAACAATGAATAATGTTATGTATTAAGTGATTTTTAGATTTATTAATGTGTGAATATTATTTAAGTAATAGAAAGTGTGGTGTGAGTTTCTATATAGCATTTCTACATTAGCACAGAAAGCAGTTTAGAGCATGATTTTGCTATATTTGGTTGTACCTTTGTAATTTTTGAGTTACAGGTCATACATCCTTCTCTAAGATCTTTGCATCTTTAAAAGCCCAAGATAATTTGTTTTGCAAAGAAAGGTATGACTTTGCAGAGATGGTTATTTTTAAAAGTCCATGTTGATAAGAGCCCGTTTTCTCTATACAGGAAGAAATAGGCATACTATAAAGACAATTTAATTTATATAAACCAGTACCTCATAAATCTAGTTTGTTTCCCCCCACATATTTGAGTATTTTTGAAAAATAGGAAATAAGTTGGAAAATAGGAATAATTAGTTTTGCTGAAGTCTTTAAGAACTAAACCTACTATAAAAATTCAGAATGGTAATCAGCGTCCTGACCAGCTAGCTTGGTTAAACCTGGGTTTCTGCTTTTAAGGACTTCAACTGACTAGACAAGGCTCACCCATATAATCAAGGCTAATCTCCTTTACTTAGTGTCAACTGATTGTAGATTTTTAGAAATTAAATAACTTATTTTTAGGAACAGCGTCTCACTCTGGCACCCTGGCTGGAGTGCAGTGGTGTTAGCATAGCTCACTGTAACCTCAGAGTCCTGGGCTTAAGTGATCTTCCTGCCTCAGCCTCCTGAGTAGCTGGGATTACAGGCACATACCACCTTGCCTGGCTAATGATTGAAAGCTTTTGTAGAGACAGTATCTCACTATGTTGCCCAGGTTGGTCTTGAACTCCTGGTCTCAAGCAGTCTTCCTACCTCAGTGTCACAAAGCACTGGGATTACAGGAGTGAGCTGCCGCATCTGGCCATAGATGTGTCACATCTCTCTACATCATCATTCTCTAAATGTTTGTTATTTTACAGTACATGTATGCTTGTCAAATGGGTCTTTCCTATTGCAAGAGCAGTTTTTAAAGGCATGAGTAATAAGTCTTTGTCAGATAACTAAAAAAGTTTCTATATAAGTTTTTCTTAGCTTTAGGAGTGTCAATTTAATAGTAGATTTGAAACCATACACTTAAAAAATATGTAACTTACTACAGAATAAGGAATTATTTGGTTGGCACAATTTGACACTTTAACTAAAACGTCCAAAATAATTTTGAAAAAGAACAAAGTTGGAGGACTACCACTACGCTGTTTTTAAAATTCCTATACACATAATTACAACAGTGCTACAGTAATCAAGATAGTGTGATAATGGCACAACGAAAAGCATATAGATCAATGGAACAGAGTTATGAACCAGAAATCCTTACATTTATTGTCAGCTGAGTTTGACAGAAGTACTGAGACAATTCAATGGGGAAAGGATAGTCATTTTTACAAATGATGCTGGGACGAGCAAAAAAGAAAATGAACTCAGACCTATTCTTTACATCACCAAAATTAGCTCAAAATGGATTACAGAGTGAAAAGAGAACCCAGAGAATGGGAGAAAATATTTATAAATCATAAATGTGATAAGAATTTGTATCTAGAATATATAAGGAACTCTTACATTCAATAATAAATTAAAAATGGTCACAG